GGAGGAGGCTCTGGAAGCACCAGACTCTCCTCTTCTCCACTACCTGTACTTGCGAGGCCGGACGGCCCCGGGGAGACGGTCCAGTCTTTGCGGGTCTGGACGATGGAGGAAGTGATCGCGTTTGGTGGACATTAGGACCTGGTGATGTCTGGCAGATGTGTCAGCAGCCAGGTTCAGGACCAGCCAGATGCCAACGACTTTCAGCTTGGGCGTGCTATGAGGGCCGCCAAGCTTAGGGACGTCAAGGCACAAACATGTATGTCAGTTAATAAGCAATGTTCTATTATGCACTTCTCTAAGCATGAGATTATTAGTAAGGCACATGACATAGGAGTTTCACTGGGGTATAATGGGAAAGAAATTGTTAAATCAGTTAATGATATTTTACACTTAGAGGCTGAGAGAGCTTCTGAGTTGATCCGTGCTTTAGCGGCGGTTAAACCTATGTTAGATGCTGATATTAATAACTTGGGCATCTCTACGCTAGAGAACTTCTGTGATGAAATGATGCCTTCTTCGGATGTCGAAGGAGAGGCAGGAGATGTGGAGTTTGAGCGACCTTTTGGCCCCCCATCTCTGGCGGCAGAGGTACAACAGACTATAAACCGTGTAGATGAGGAGTCGACCCTGGATAAACCTAAACGATCCTGGAAGAGGAAGATTTATCCAACATCGGCGGTCTGTAGAAGTGCGAGAGTGAAACTTAAGAAAAAATTCCACGATGAAATATGAAAGGGATCTTTTGGAATATCAGAGGTCTAGCAGACTTGGCTAAGATAAGGTTCCTGGTTGAAACAACCATAGAAGATAAACTAGATTTCATCGCACTTCTTGAAACTGGTAGAGATAACTGTACTACACAATCCCTCGGTTCCCTTACTAGTGGAATTGATTTCGATTGGCACTGCCTACCGCCTAGAGGACGATCCGATGGGATTCTCTTGGGGGTGAAGTGCAAAACTCTCGAGGTACTGAATGTGGTAAGAGGAGATTATGCTGTTAAGTTCCGGTTTTGGTCTAAATTGGATGGTTTCCGATGGGCCTTAGCGGTGGTATATGGCGCAGCCCAACCCAAATTTAAACCGGATTTCTTGGCAGATCTGGTTAGGATTTGCGGGGATGAGAGATTGCCCATCTTAGTGAGGGAGATTTTAACATCATTACGAGGAAAGAAGAAAAGAACAGTGATCATTTTGACGGACGATGGTCCTTTATGTTCAACATGATCATTGAGAGTCTTAATCTCATGGAGATTGAACTCACATGTAGACAGTTTACCTAGGCAAACACTCTTCCTACTCCTACTTACAAGAAGCTTGACAGGGTGCTTGCGAGTGTGGAATGGGAACAGAAATACCCACTGGTATCGGTACACACGATGCAGAGGGCGGTTTCCGACCACATGCCCTTGTTAGTTGACTCGGCTGAAGCAACACATATGGGCAATAAAAACATTTTCTCTTTCGAACTAAGTTGGTTGGAAAAAGAAATTTTATAGAGATGGTGGCAAGAGAATGGGCTAGACCTATTGCCGGTAGATCCAGCATGGAGCGCTGGCAAAATAAGATTAGACACCTGAGACAATTCTTGAGGGGTTGGGCCAGAAATGAGTGGGATTTATAAACAAGAGAAAGAACGGCTTATCCAGTTGATTCAGACGCTAGATGTGACAGCAGAAACGAATCTGCTGGACGAGTCAGACCAAGCCGTTAAGTCTAAGGCCGAGTTGAAATTGCGTGCTTTGCTTAGAGAAGAGGAAATGAAGTGGGCTTTAAGCGCTAAGGTTCTTAGTGTCGTCCAAGGGGATGACAATACCCAATTTTTCCATATGATTGCTAATGACAAACATAGGAGAAAGAAGATTATCCACCTTGAGCAAGATGAGGGAACAATTGTGGGTCATGAGAATCTTAAGTTATATATATCCAACTATTATAAGCAACTTTTTGGGCCACCAGTGGATAATGCGGTGGCCCTAGATGAGCATGAGGTAGACGATATACCTCAGTTGAGGTTAGAGGAGAATGAGATTCTAACCGCACCTTTTACTAAGAAGGAGGTTTTTGAGGCGACCACTCAAATGAAACCGAATAAAGCACCGGGACCAGATGGGTTTCCGACTGAATTCTATAAGAAATGTTGGCATATCGTGAAAGATGATCTTATGCCTATGTTTCAGGACTTCTTTAATGGTCATATGCAACTGTTCCATCTAAACTTTGGTACGATAACTCTTCTGCCAAAGAAAGAGGAAGCAATTCGTATTGAGCAATTCAGACCCATTTGTCTCTTGAATGTGAGTTTCAAGACTTTTACAAAAGTGACCACCAATAGATTGACACAGATTGCTCATTCGGTAGTGCAACCAAGTCAGACTGCCTTTATGCCTGAAAGACACATCCTAGAATGGGTAGTTGTCTTGCACGAAACTCTACATGAAATCCATTCGAAGAAACTCGATGGGGTAATTTTCAAAGTAGACTTTGAGAAGGCACATGACAAGGTGAAATGGCCTTTTTTTACAGCAAGCCATGTGCATGAAGGGCTTTAATGGGGCATGGAGGAATCAGGTGGATTCTTTTGTCCAGAAAGGTAGTGTTGGGATAAAGGTGAATGATGACATTGGTCATTATTTTCAAATGCATAAAGACCTGAGACAAGGAGACCCGATGTCTCCGATTCTGTTCAACATTGTGGCAGACATGTTGACAGTTCTCATAGGTCGGGCCAAGGAGAGTGGCTTGGTAGGTGGTCTTGTTCCCCATTTGGTGGATGGGGGCGTCTCTATCCTACAATATGCGGTTGACACCATTATCTTCATGGAGAATGACCTCGCAAAAGCGAGGAATACGAAACTAATGTTATGCCTATTTGAACAACTGTCTGGTTTAAAGATCAACTTTCACAAGAGTGAATTATTCTGCTTTGGTGGAGCCAAAGATGACCAAGATAGCTACAAGCAACTGTTCAGTTGTGAACTGGGGTCATTACCATTCAGTTATCTAAGCATTCCAATATATCATAGGAAATTAACCAATAAGGAATGGAAATGTATCGAGGATCAATTCGATAAGAAACTAAGCTGCTGGAAGGGTAAGCTTATTTCATATGAAGGACGACTAGTATTGATAAATTTGGTACTCACGAGTATGCCAATGTTCCTTCTTTCTTTATTTGAGGTGCCTAAAGGGGTACGCAAGAGACTAGACTTCTATTGATCCCCTTTTTTCTGACAGACAGATGAGGTTAAGACAAAGTATCATTTGGCAAGATGGGATATTATTTGTCGACCAAAAGACCAGGGGGGGGGTCTTGGGATCGAGAACCTCGAGATTAAAAATAAATGCCCATTGAGCAAATGGTTATATAGGTTATCACAGGAACCTAAGGGTATGTGGGCACAAATCCTAAGAAATAAATACTTACACTCTCGCTCAGGCTACGTAAGACCTAATGATTCACCCTTTTGGAAGGGACTCATGAGACTGAAAGAAACCTTCTTCCATAGGGTGAAATTTATTGTTGGGGACGGAACAACAACAAGGTTTTGGGAGGATACATGGTTAGGCGACACACCACTAGCTCTCCAATATCCTTCCCTGTATCACATTGCTCAACGTAAGAAAGATTACGTAGCAACGGTTTTGCAGACGGTACCTTTGAATATCCAGTATATCCAGTTCAAGAGGTCTCTAGTAGGGGAACGATGGGACTCCTAGTTACACTTATTAAGGGGGTTGATGCATGTTCAACTCTCGGACCAAGGAGATACTTTGAACTGGAAGCTGACGGATAATGGAGTGTTTACAGTCAAATCGATGTACTTAGACCTCATTAATTCTGGCCCAATCCCAAGATCGATACACATTTGGAAAGTTAAGGTTCCCTTGCAAAATAATTTTTTTATGTGGTTTATACACAAGCAAGTGATCCTTACCAAAGACAACTTATTAAAGAGGCGATGGGTAGGCAGTTCACGATGTTGCTTTCGTGTTCATGATGAAACAATCCAACACTTATTTTTTGATTGCCCTCTCGTGAAGTTACTTTGGCGGTCTGTTCATATAGCCTTTAATATAACCCCTCCAGTTAGCATTGACGCGTTGTTTGGGACGTGGCTAAATGGAGTGACTGCTCATATTGCGTCAAGTATTCGGATTGGAATGTGTGCACTTCTTTGGACTATATGGAACTGCAGGAATGATATGATCTTTAACAGACTTTCTATGATTAACTTCTTGCAAGTTATCTTTAGGGCTACGACATGGATCCGTACGTGGTCGTTACTCACTCCTACGGGCTCTAGGGAGCAGCTGGCTACTGGGTGCAACCGGTGGGAGATGTTAGCACGGACTATATTCAACCGGTTTGTATGGCGGTTGCATAATAGGATAGGTCCTTAATGTCCTTTCGTCCAGCTGGTTGTGGCTTTGAGTTGCTTATTTTTTACTTTGCTCCTTTTGCGAGCTGTACTTTGCAGACCAGACTCTTTGTTTTGTTAAACTTGATCTAATAAAGTGGCCGCATGCATCTATCCGATGCAGAGGCCCGGGTTGACCTCCTTTTCAAAAAAATATGTATGCATGTATATGTATATGTATTTATGTGTGCGTGCAATGATGGGATGATGGGGAGTTAATAATAATAATAATAATAATAGAGCAAACTACTCACAACTTTTCACTAGTAACTGAGATGGCAGTATATGGTCTCCAAGTGGTGACTGGTGTGGTTTCACTTCCATCGTCGACTTTATACTTTCCCTTGTTCTCAACGATGCTCTCAAGCCTTCTGTTGATCACTTTGATCCTCTTTGAAAGGTCGCTCCGCACGCGCACTTGAGTGAACAAGTCACGCGAGATCTTGACGATGGTATGACTCCAACTTGGATACCTACATTACGAAACAATGTACCATAGAACATTAGAAAAAAGAAATTTGAATTTGCGGCAAGCAACTTTGATAGTTAATCAGTTGGATTTGACTGTTGACAAAGAATCATTTGGAAAATAGGGTTTTCAAACAAAAGTTTAATTATGAAAACTAAGAATCATGACTACTCCACTTCGCCCGGGTAATTACTAGACAATAGAAGAGCGTGTGTACTTGTATCTCGGTGTGGCTATTTCTTAACAGTTAACTGCTACCCACACAATACTTGTGCCCGATCTATTCGTTATCTCTATCTAATATTAAAGGAAGGATTGTTTCTTCACTTCTTTTTGTTTGTGGTGGGATCAGATATATTTTTGTCTGTCATGGAGCCAACGATTTTCGTTCGTCCCAAATCATCTGGCTCTCGCGCTGAGTTTTTCGTCCTTAAAAAATCATCAAAAAAAGCCAGCCCAGGTGGGAATCAAACCCGCAATCAGCAGCATGCACACCTGCGCTGCTAACCAATGCGGCCATCTATCTTCAGTGTTAAAATAGGAGCGCGACTTTTAATTAAAAGAAACAACTGGCAGTGGCAAAATATAAAAACAACTAGCAAAAGTCTATGCCTAAGTGGAATCAAACACAACACCTCGCGCGTGTTAACCACGCCCCTAGGCAGTGTAGTTCTTCAATTTGTTGTCTAAAAATTGCAGCTCCGCTTATATCAACTATATGCAGCGAAAGATGTAAACTTTTTTAAATTTCAAATGTGATTTTATTTCAAAAAGAGTAAATAGTTCTGAAAAAACAAACATTTTCCAAATATGTTAACAAATTGTTAGAGACTTGAACATTTCTCAAAACTACGAACAACTATTTGAAAATGCAAACATTTATTGAAAAACAGTGACATAATTGAAAAAGGGAACATTTTCTGAAATTGTGAACATTTTTTCAAAATGTAAACATTTTGTGCAATTCCCCTAAGAATTTACGAAAAAGTTACGAAAACACGATTATTTTGAATTTAACAAAATTTGGAAACAGAATTTTGTTTTCTAAATAAGTGAACATATTTTGAAATTATGAACAATTTTTCAAAATCCAATTTTTTTATGAAATCCCCTGAACATTTTTCGAATATGCGAACAAATTTGGAAAACATGGACATTTTTTTAATGATTGATTTTTTTTGAAACATAAACATTTTCTGAAATCACGAACATTTTAAAAATCTATGAAAATATATAAATACGCGAATAATTTAAGAAATTTCAAACTTTTTGGAGTTTGCGCAAACATTTTAAAATTTCTAAACATTTGTTGAAAAAAGAAAAATATACCTTGAGTGAGTAAATTGAGCTAGCTCGTACTTGTGTCTATTACCTCCATCCATTATTATTAAGCCAGGTGCAATGAGTAGGTTCATTGTTTTTGGATTGTTCATGAAAAATGCCTGATTTAATCTCTCCAACAGATCGTTACAGAGCACCAGTCAATGTATGCGATGGGTTTTCTTTCCTCCAATTGGAAGCTGCTGCTTCATGCGGTCACCAGCTACAATTAGATGCATTTTATCTTCATGCGAGGTTGTCACTTGGTCGTAGAGTTTTGGCCGCCAAGCACTTTAAATCCCGACGGGAGGGTTTGTTTACTTATCAAATTAAATAATTGCCTTCTCATTTTTTACACTAAATCTCATCAATTTATATACACTTGCAAGTTGTATGGAAAATCAATAAACCGCTCCAAGAATCGATACAGAGTGAAGAGTGGGTCCCGATTATCCCTAGATATAGGTTTCTCGTTAAATTGACACAAGTTTCTACATTAACCATGTGCTTTATTCATTCATAATGTTTACTGGAATGTAACAAATATGAGTGGAATGTAACAAATATGGTTAATGTAGAAACTTGTGTCAATGTAACGAGAAACCTGTACTAATGTGAAAGCAAAAGTTAGTAAGGGATACTTTTCATGTGAGTCGTTAAGATATTGAATTCAGTTTCATGAATCTGCATCCAGTAGTTGTCAACAAATATTAAATGTCCCATAATCACTTCCACACTTTTGAGTTCTAATAATGACTAACGTCTACTTCTGAGTTAAAACTGTTTCATACTAAAACAATTCATTTTTATATCACAATTGTTTATTAAAAAGTGTAGATTTTTATTTTCTTTATTTCGAGTTGTGCATATTGTCCAAATTTTCCATTCTTTTTTTATTCTTTTTGATGAATTCAATGATTATAGATTTATTATCCTTGTAATATTTTGGTTTAATATATGTAAATTTTATTTTAAAAAGCATGCATGATTACAAGTTGTATACTTGTGTTGTAACTCAACTGCAAAGAACACATGTAAAAATATGAAACTATACTTGTGAGTGTCGCTAGTATGACATGTATCATATGGACTACCACAGTGGTACCTAGAAGACATTATTAGTAATAAAACATCCCGGATAGGATTTTCCTACACTTTTGTCTTCCCCCTTTTCTGAATAAAATTAACTTAGGCCTAAACTACTATTAGCCTCATAACACAACATGGTTTTCGCCTAATAAAACGACAACGGATGACTGTCATGTATGCATGAACTTCATACTATGCAGTAACCCCTCTAGAGATGGACCCAAAAACCCCAACAATGATGGGATTTATGGCCTATCACAACATCTATATAGTGGAACCCTTTTATGCCAATGATGGTTCTAGTGCATCTGCGAGTCGAACAATTCAAGAACCCTGGAAGAAGCGGGTGAGGTCTGTACGACCAGCTCACTCAACCTATGGATGACGTCAGCAACATCGCCCACCATTGTTGGCACTATGAGGGCAACCCCAAAATGGATCACTAAACCTCTCGCAAATGTTCAGAATGAACCATCTAGACACTTTTAGCCATTCCAACGACAATCATCAAAATTGTTCGGAATAGTCCGGACGTTCGAAATCCCGCAAACCAGCATCAAACTAAGGGTGTTTGTAGGAGTACGGATGTCCGCCACGCCGGACTTCTACACACCGGACTCACCCTTGTGTCCATGCTCCGGACTCGAAGGCGTTGTTGTACTACCACAGACGTCGCCCACACCTTGTCAAACTTCCGCGACTCCACCCAAGCACCCGTTGGGCTTTGCATACCCTGCCAAGGTACCCGCCACCCTTTCTGACATTGTCCACAGTGGACACCATGTCCGACAAGTGTTAGGCCAAATGCCATAGCCAATTTTTTTGACGTTCTCGTTGTTTACTTTGAAGTAATAAACGCGATGGATTCATATGAGGACTACTTCTATGTAGAGGTCATGGATTTGTCTTGATCGGATGAGGATGATGATGATGATGAAACAACGATGATGAGAGTGATTCCTGAAGACACAGAGCGTGCGACGGGGCATGCTCTCAACTTAAGGGTTCAACATGGGAACATTGAGTGCTGAACTGGAAGAGGGCATGGGAGCATATTATGTTGTACGCCGACTACTTCACCCCAGTGCACTATCGAACCATATTCCCGCCATCGTTTTGGGATGTAGCGACATGTTTTCAAACACATCTACCAAGGTGTCAGGGTCTATGATATTACTTCAAGCTGAAACATGATGCCGTTGGAAACATTGAGTTATCTGGTTGCCAGAAGCACACAACTGCTACGGGATGCTTGCTTATGGCACAATCACATATTCATGAGACGAGTACTGCCAAATGTCTAAAATCACATGCCTCGAAGCCATGGCCAGACTTGCTAATGCCATGGTCAATGTGTCTCGACTAGAGTACTTGAGAGAACCAAATGTCGCAGAGACAACAAGGCTCATGGCACTATCATTGAGATGATATGAATCCTCCATCGGCGACCTTTGACAAGACCATGTCTGAGCCATGGGTAACAAAAAATGTTATTTCACGAAAAAGAGAGGAAGTAGCTAGAAAGGATGTGTAGAGGGCATTTGGAGTGCTCCAAGACCAGTTTGCACTCGTTTTGTGGACCTGCTAAACTATGGGATACAAAGACGTTCTTTGAGTTGATGACAGATTGTGTGATCATGCACGACATGATTGTGAAGGATGAGGATAAAGGAGTTTGCCAAGGTTTAGAATTTTCAAGAGATGGGTTCTCTGATCCATCTTCCATAGTAGAATCCGGTGACATTTGAGAATTTTCTCCAAATGCATCAGCAAGTTCACCATCGAGGAACTCATGATCAACTTTAGAATGATCTGATCGAGTATCTATGGGTGTTTCATATGGACAATTAGAACATGTGTACAAATAAATTGAATACAAATCTGAACTATTTTATTTCAAAGCTTTACATTTGGATTGTTATATTTGAATTATTTTTGTAATAGAATATTTATCTTTCCATCATCAATGAATTGTGCTATTTTATCTTTGATTATTTTCAGTACTCCAACCATAGGAAAGAAAACTGAACGGGCAAACATTTGGTGACTCCTGGTTGGATGGTCGGCTCCCTGCCTGCTGTCTGTGGTCACACCCTTACGTGCTCGTGAACATTTGGTGTCGTCCATTTGGTGATCCGCGTTGGCGTTTACCTAAGATCTAACCACCTCGCCGCATGTGGGGTCGAGGAATCCGCCATTGTTCATGTAATCGATGCCAAGCACGATGCCAATGATGACGACATCCACCGTGTGTGGAGTCAATGCTGACGTCAAAGATGATGATGATGCACATGTGCTAATGGATTATATCACTGCCATACATGTAGCGGTCGAGCAGTCGCACCATAGGCTCGGAGCTACTGTTGTAAGAGAAGGGCAAATCATGGTGCATGGGATCTAGTAGTGGATGAATGGAAAGGCGGCGCACTTGACATGGGCTTCGTGGTGCAAGCTTCCTTCGATGGAAAATATGGACAATGGGGTTAGTGTATCTAGGGGGAGAGATAGGAGGGATGGAGAGAGAGGGGGCAGAGAGAGAGAGAGAAAGAGAGAGAGAGAGAGAGGAAGGGAGAGGGAGAGGGAGGGAGAGTGATT